GTATGGATTCAATAATATACCTTAGATACTATAACGGGGAAATCACTTTAATTGAATATCAGAAAAATGTGGCATCGAGTAGGTACTATGGGATCAATTTGTCGAAATGCAAACTTTTACATTGTTAATTAAAGTATATTTAGTTAAATTACATAATAAATAACCTTCAATAGGTTCCTATTTTCATTCAATATGCTACACAGCCCCTCCTAAACATGCTGTTACTACTGTATCCCACAACTATCCAAATAATGGCATTAACTCATCTCATCTTGCAGAAAATATATATATATATATATATATATATATATATATATATAAAGATATATATAGAAAATCTTTCAAATTCTCTTGTATTACTTATGAAAGGAGATATTATTACTGCGTAAAATCTAGTAATACAAGATCTAGTCAAAATATTTATATACTCCACATATAAAAAAAATTCAAGGATCTAGTCAAAATATTAATTCCACATATTTCGTTTACTATAGAATATATAATAGTTCTCCCTTTCAATAGGACGCCACTGAATACAATCCCGAGCCATTTGTTTCTTACTACCTTTAGATATCATTCAACTTTTTAAACTATGTACATGAATCTACTTTCAAATTTATTTACTTATATATTAATTATAGTAATTATTATGTGAATAATATCGATGCATATAATGCATCCAATGTTAGTATATCTATCTATGCCTGTGTAATTACGCGTTATGTACTAAAGTTCAATGACGTGTCGCGACTCCTTGCGTTAGTTTCTAAGTGCAATAATGCTATCGCAACGAGCAGTTCATCAGCGGGATGCGTGTGCGCAGCGCAAAGGTCAACAAATAAGGTTGTGACGCATACTAAAGTTTTAGCTAAACTACATTCCCTGTTATTTTGACTATCATAACTAATTTAATGTATCAAATAAATATAAATCTATATCACATTCAAAAGTGTGCTTGGGCAGTTCTTTCTATGCATTCTTGATATCATTATGACACAAGTAAATAAAAACATATTTCTTATTGATTACATTAACTGATTCTAGCCTTTTACTTAGGAATATGCATTGCGAATTAATTAGTAACAGTAGTATCTAGTAGAGTACTACCAAGAAACAACTCTATTAAAAATGTATTTGTTGAAAATTACTTCCTCAAGATTTCATCTAAAAATAATATATTTTATAATGACATTATTTATACTAACTGCATACACAAAAGTAAAAATTACACTAATTAGCGAACTCTAAAATCTGAAAAATATCAATCTATTAGCAAACCTTGAAATAATAGAAAATAGGAAAAATACCTATATTAAAAGTTTATGTGGCAACCCTATGAAAAGACATCGACATACAAACAACTGCAGCGGAGTGTCACTCAACAGTCACAATCTCGACGCAAATAATCTCCGATGAGTCGAATATGTTAACAAGACATTTTCGGCTGAAGTATTTCTTTCATTAAAATGAAACAACTTCTTTCAGTTAAACATCAAATCGAACAATTGTTTATATTTTCTATTTTCAGATACCTATTTTCAGAATAAAAATTAATAATAATTAAATCCATAGAAATAATATGAATGGGGATAGCTATCAATCTGTTTGTTATGTATTCGGAACTAAGCGGTTGATAGGATATTAATGAATATTAAAAATAAGGTCTTAAAAAACATTACAACACGGACTCTCTTTTATAAAAAAGGATACAAACTCTGCCTGAGTTAATATAATATAACAGTAGATTCGTTTTATTCGTATTTAGTAAATATAATGTTTTTGGTTAGTATTATGCTATTATGTATTCACTGCTGACAAAATAAACAAGACTAGACACAGTAAAGTATCATGTATACACTATCATGTATATTTTTTATTATTTAAATATAAATATAAAAGGCGGAGGTAAAATGTAAAGTATTTTGGCTACATAAAAATAGCACTGTGTTAATTTTCAAATAATACGAGTACAAACAATATCGCAAGCAGCAAAAATATAAACAGAAACGACGTTATTTTGTGTTTTGTCTACATTAATGACACTTCACTTCATATTTAAAATGTTATCATTTAAAATGTTACAATTTTTATTTAAATTTAGACCGACATTGTAAATACAGAATTCTATAACGGTCAACTGACAAATCGGTGATAGGCCAAACTATTAAAATTAAAGGTGAAGTCTAGATATACCAAAATATAGTAGATTTGTAATAAGTAAATCGAATTAGTATATTTCGAAATGCACTTAATTGAATAAAAAGACAACCGCCTAGCCTGAAAATTTATTAAATGAGGAAATGTGGAAACAAAATATTTTGATATTTTCCTGAAGTAAAACGGCTTAGATCATAACTTAAAAATTAGTATGGAGCTAAGACAAGAGTAAAACTGCGAATATGCTAATTTAATCAACAAATCAGCAGATTTGGCGAATAGATTATTTTAAAAGCTGGATAGTACATACAAAGCCTTCTAATATAATGAGAAACAATAACAATCGATGTAAATTGGTAAAGAAATATAGCTGTAGTAACTAAGTTGGTTAGAATTACAGTGATTAGATTACACAGCGCATCTCATATTTTGTCAGTTTTAAATATAGGTAGCAATTTATATAAAAAAGTGACAGTGCTAGTATTTTGTAAGTTTCATGAAAAACTGAAAAGTTTGTAAGAATGTTATATATATTTTACTGCAATAGTGTTCTTATCATGACATCGAGATATCTTGGCTTTCATCCAAAACTTTCACTCAAATAATGGGACCATTGCATAAAATTGTGATAACATTTGCGATGCATAAAATCGCCATTTCTTTATTATCATTAAGGCGATGGATAGAGATATAGTATGGATGTAACAATTTAAAAAGTTTTTTTTAAGAGCTTGGCTGGCTACTTTAGTAGTCCCGGTTCTACTAAAATAAAAGTAACCAGCCAAGCTCTTAGGAACAAACGTTTACTGAAAGTCCAATACTATCTAAGAATAACTAATAACAAATCTGTTGATCGGAAGGAGAGGGGAGACAAAACATAAGGAACATATTAAGGAAAACATGTATTGATGTAATCAATTTTAAACCAAATAAATGAAAATCTCAGCCTCGAGTAAATATATTCGCTCTATACAATGCACTAATTTACTTGATGCAAGACTTTAATTTTTTAATCTAAATTTTGCTTTAGCGTATCCCTAGACACACAGAACCCCTGTCCCGAGTCGTGCGAGCGTGACATGGTGTCTGGGAGGCTTCCATTAAACGTCTTTAAAGTCTAGGGAAACTACCATTAATTGTGGCGGACGCAAGTCTGCATAAACTGACGTTGGCAGTGCCTAAAACCTTAATTCCTACCGTCTAGTATATGAATTAAGTGTCGTAGGTTTTACGATATTATCTGCTGTATAAGTAAATACGCAGTATAAATATATTTATGTACACTTCAATGAAGATACAATGTTTTATCACAAAAAATATCCTGACTTATCTGTATTTATCTGAAGTGTTTATTATTTAGTATTATTACCAACTATAGATAGCTATAAGTTTATGCTAAACTCCTAAAATTAAAAATCAATTTTAATAAAAATATATATATGAACGAAAAAGAGTTGGTTGTATTTTCAGGGTAAAACTATTAGATGTAGTTAGTAATATTAGAAGTATGTAGAAAACTAAATATTCTTGCATGTTGTCAGCAATTTGGATGGGTATATTTACAGCTGGATTCCAAAGTGGCATCGATATATCGATTCAAACATTTGTTCTAATATGTTCTTTCCGATAGGAAACGTTTTGAGATTTAGCTGATGTGACAAATAATATCCTGCTAGTTTTTTCTTACAATGACGCGGGGCAAAAATATGTGCAAAAACAATTAATTTGTATTATGAACTTGCAAAATCCTGTCTTCGTAGATCTATGTACATGATACATGAAATCTATTTAAATAATGGTCAGTGTCTACACAGTGATTGTTCTCTTAATCATCGACACGTCACATTCATTTGAATTCATTTATTAGCCTCCGTCTAATTCGCTTACTCTGTACCCACAGAATAAAAATTATTTGTTGGCTTATTGAGATAATTACTTCAGCCCGCATTGATCTTAATAAAGTTTCAATTGAATAGTGTATAAGCCATGCTCTGTGGTCTATATTAATACTTATAAATGCTACGTCATATAGGATTAAAATCATGACCAAATTATTTCCTTTGAACTATAATAAAACTTACAGTGAAAATAATACATAACATTTGATATTAACCTATAAAAATAACGTACTCAAGGTCGCTAGTCGCAAGAAATGCAAAATAAAATTTAGTTCAAACAAACAGATGTGCTTGATCTGGCCGAATCGCCTGAATCACATTATTTTCATATTGAAAATATGTAACGAAACCTTAAAATAAGCAAAGCAAAGAAGATGAGAACATCTTCAGTTCATCTTACTGATATAAATAGATAGTTTTACTGTGTGATACTAAATAATTTTATTGTAGAAAAGCGACTTCAAATTTAATTTGGCGGCGCTTATAATTTATGTATATGTATACCTATGTATATTTTAAATATCCTATATCAGTCTACATCGCAATGTTACAAATCGGTTATATCGTTTATTAAAGGATAATAGTTAGGTTTGAAAAAGAGAAAGAGAAAAATACACCTGAAACCATAATCATAATATATGCTTATGCTGCTAAAGAATTAAGTTGTCATACATATCTATCCTAAATCGCAATATACTCGTATATTGCCCTTCAGAATGAAATATGCACACATTGTGGCTTACAGAACGAGAGTCTCTAGCATGAGAAAAATATAATATAAATAATAAAAATAGATAAAAACACAGAGTATATTTTGAACAAGATTTCCCCTCAACTAGATTCATAATAAATTTGTCAGTCACGGTCAAATGCAAGAATAGGAGAATATATTTGGTCAGTACGTGGCTCAACACGTGCTAAGTACTGGTAAAATGAATATATATTCTTTGTTCAAATAAGTATTTCAACATAATAGATTTCTCCAAAGATTTTTAAAGCATTAGGATTTCTCTAACGCGTCGTCTACAGATGTATTATATAGGTAGTTAAGTAGTTTGGAGCAGTGACAGCTCGATTTGTGGGAAGCTGGATTGCGATTGGGATATCCTAAGATAGAACTCGGTCTAAATTCCATATTTTAAATTCTCGTTAAGTTCTTATTTTATACTTTTTTATGGAATCTTCGTGCTAGCGATATATTTTTTATTTATTTCTTTATATTGCTTTATTGACCACTTAAATTGTACAAATGGTGGACTTAATGCTACGCCATTCTCTCCCAGTCAACCTTTGGGGTGTATAGAGATACTTGAATGCGGTTAAAAGAAATAATCGCAAGAATATAAAAACAGATTACTCAAATAATAAGAGTAACTTAATGATGCGGGCATGAATAAGTACAATACAGGTTTATAATAACACTTGAATTCGCGTATACCTATTTGAGAAGTTATTATTAAGGGTATTTACGATGGTTAGTAATGAAGATCAATACACCCTAATTAACCTTATCTTACTTATATAACATCCAACATATACTTATTCTAGAACTAGAATATACTCTGTTCACCATAAAATAACAAAAATAGTATATTAACTATTAGTTAATATCATTATTAATTGTACCTACCTAATTATGTGTTTGGGTATCTTTAACCAGTTTATCAAATATTTCCTAATAAAATTATTGCAAGTCTAATTACCCTGACTTTTAAAGGCCTATTGCCATAAAATATAAAAATATGAGTACTCATAAAATCATGACCTAGAAGAGGTCAAACTAATATAATAATATGTTGAGTTAATCTATTAAAAAGTAATTAAGAAATCTATGAAACAATCATATCACGCGGAACATCAATGCCATTACGTACTTTTTTAATAGTGAATTCTACTACAAATTAAATAATTAGACTGACAATAATAATTACCTACTACCCATTATTTCAATTAATGTAATGAAATACTAATTATCACATACAATGATAAATTGAGAACCCGCGGTATGGCATTTGAGAAGAGACAAAGATAATTAATGCACGCTACGTGAGTATACTCGAACCAGAATCGAATATAGATACCAAAAGTTTCAAATATTTGCTTACTCTTGGTATAAAAAAATATCTCTATGCTTCGAAAGACATTAAATGAAATATGAAATGGCTGTGCTGTATGCTATACCTTACTTGAGAATGTCAGATATCAATAAATCTCTTTGTGTAAAAAGTAGATAGTTATTTTATTACATAAGTTGTTAAGGCCCTTAAGCAGCAATAGTATCCAATATGTAAACACTTTTTTAACTTGTCACAATAAAAATTATTGGTAATATGTGAAAATATTTTGAGTAGTCAATAACCTAAATGTCACAAAGTAGGTGTTTATGTAGTTATTTAGAATACAAGAAATAATCTATTCATCGTCCTTCCTTCTTTCGTAAGTTCTTCGCCGCGTCTTTGTACATTCTTTATAATCTTAAAGAACTAGTGAACGGATTTTCATGCGGTATACGTAGGTACATCAACACAGGTAATTTTATAGAAAAGTATAATATGGTATTGAAACTGTAGACAGTCGCTGTCACTTAATAAAATGAGCAAAGTATATAAACATACAATAAAAGGCAAGATTAAGATTCAACGATTATACGGTTTCATTTGATCTATATTTATCGATTAGCTTTCAATGAACGTGGTAAATATAAAATAACAACTTGACAGGACTGTGCAGGAAATTTGGATCGAATTAATAGACTGATGTTTATAAGAGTAGAAAATATAAAATATATTTTAACAATATATACGACTAAACCAATGATGATGATAACTAAAGTGTTTACATATAATGGCGGTATCAAAGTTTAGGATAGGATACATTATTATTATGAATCTCATATTAGTACCTACAGCTAATATTTCTACCTACAGAGGTAGAAATAGTCGCTAATAACTTAAAAAATGCTATAAGTTTGAATAGTAGTATCTGAACACTTTATAAGGCTGTGATATAATAATCCTAATTGATCGAATCATAGTCATAAAGACCATCTAGTATAAAATAATATGTGGTTGTCCAGATTTACCAATCTGGGTGGCGTCCGGCGTGCCCATTAGAACGTCAATGTCAAAGTTTAAAAAATGCCAACCATTTTCCATCACGCGTTACCAGATTGATGGTCATTTCCAGAGTTATAAAAAAATGAATGATCTTAAAAAATATCAGCCATTAAATCTTGACCTTATTTTTTGTAATAAGACTCGTAATTAAACTGTAATCGTAAATGTGTTTACTACATTTTTCGTGCGGCCATCTGCAGATACTATATAATATAATTGGTGTCATTTCTACGTCAGTATTCATCTGATAACACTTGACGCAGTATATGATACGTAGATCAGTATCACATAGGTGAACTCGACAGTCTGTTTTACTCGCGTTTATCTGTGGTACTGTTTATCGTCACAAACAAATAGACGCATTATGAAAGCATCTACATACATGTAGGAAACCATTTGAATTTACAGTATTTCATAGTCTTCTATTCCTATGATATTAAAACAGGCCCAAACATTTTTGCTTAAAAATAATCATTCTCAAGAATATAAATGCATTACATTAGCATTTATATTCTTGAGAATGATTATTTTTATCGGTCTGGATCTTATCTTTGTATATTATGTATTTAATCTATACATCTATCTATACATACAAAAAAATTGGAATGTCTGTTTGTAATATTGAGATAACCGTTGTTTTTACTACATGCATATTAAAATAAATACGGTACATACACCAAAAAACCACGTTTTACCATTTTTGTCTGTCTATCTGTCGTTCTGTTTGTTCCGGCTAATCTCTGAAATGGCTGGACCGATTTTAACGGAAGGTTTTTTGGCAGGTAGCTGATGTAATAATGAATAATTTAGGCTACTTTTATTTTGAAAATTTCTTTTATTTAAGAAAAATAAAGTTAAAATATTATTATTAAAATAAGTATAACATATGCTCCAATAATGATACTTTCGTACAATACATGAAAAATAAATACCTAATGATTTTCTCCGAAAAAGTAAATTTCTATAAAGAAAACTTCAGTAGTCTAACTATACATACCTACATATCTATAGAAACTGATACCAAATTGTGTTGTTATTTAGATATTCCAAAACGCCACGGTTTAGTTAAACACAAAAAAATAATGTCATCCTGCTGCCCGTTTCACGCCGATGTCAATTAGCATGTCGTTTGAAGATGCGTTGCTACTAAGTCGAACATTCAATACGTTACATCGACCCTAATATAATGCTGTAAATTAAACTCTATAGCCACGATATTACTTCTCATTATAGATATACGAGATGCAATATGTGGCATTTCATAAAAGACGACAGCTAGTCGGTTGCATGGAGTCGTGTGCGCGACATATGAGTAATGACAATAACGCAGCAACGTGTGTCTAAGCCGAATGGTCCCAGATGTGCGTCTGGATACGGATTGCACCAGTTATGCAAGCCACATAGTAATGTTCATAATTACACAAACAAGAATGTTAATATATATACATGCACATAACACTAAAACCTATAGAAAATTTAGAATTCCCAATACTGCGAATATGAATAATATTTAGCATACACATGAGTATATCATGTTTATCTTCCGTATAACTTTTGTCTAAATACTATAAAACTATTGAAAGAAATATAAAAAATATCTTATTCTTGAGTTAATATTTATATACCTATTAATTTTTAGCATCTAGTGCGTGGATATTCGATAATTTAAGACTTGTAAATTGAACTACACACAATAATCGATATTCTTTCAAAACGACTTCTAAAAATAGATTGTTCATATGAAGGTTTTACATTATAACTGATATAACTTCTCCAATGCAATTTCTACATGGAATAAAAAATATTAATGCTTTACTTCAAATTGCTCTTAATTTTCGGCTTTATGCTAAAGAATGTCCAGTACTAAAAAATAAATCTCTCCATTTTTAAAAACTACATAAGGTAATTAAATGTAAAGTCTCACAATGAAAACAAAGAGATTATGAGCAGGCAGATATGTAAATTCAAGACCACGAAAATGCCGCAACATATGACGTAAAAGTGTAGGTAACATTACAAATAATAAATTGTGTAACTTCTAGTAAAACAAGATTACAATTTGGTATTTGCAGAGTGACAAATGGAAACGTAAATCAAGAAAAGCATTAAGCACTTAATTTAAAAATATTGTTCGTAAATGGATATTTTTTTACCCAATATTGATCTATCCTCACACTATATTATTACGTGACAAACCTATGGATGATTATGCAAAAATGGAAAGACGTGAAGAGGGAAGAGTTCGGTTGATTGGTTGAATGCGTTAATCTCAGAAACTACTGGAATAAAAAATCTTGAAGATTAGAATCTGAATATAGTCCAATAACACTCATCAATCATCATCACCATGCAATATTCATACGTCAGTCAAACTCGAGACATCGTCCGCGAGGCAAAGTCCATTGACCGAACAAAATAGCCTATAATCTTTTTCGTACTAAATACTACGGGTATGCACAATTTCAATTTCGGTTACGCCGTTATTGATTGCCTTTCAGGTTTAAAATTTATTTATAAATATTATTATCAAAGTAGTGGTTTGTAAACATTTATATTAATAACAGTTTAAGAAAGTTCTTTATCATAGTTGTTTCTTAATAATTCTAAACTACCGTTATGAACTCTCAAGCACATGACATGCGAGTGGGTCTCTGTTTTTTTCTACACGCTCAGTGACATTTTATCGTTTGACGACACCAGAGAGAGATATAAAAAGTGCCACTTTGTGAATAGCGGAGGAGGCAATGGTGTGTGAAGAGCTCACGCGTCTGCGCCGGTGGCCTTAGCGTTTGTTTACCTATATTTGTTCATTTCGTTATTTTAAGTAAATCATT